GGATGGAGCCAGTAAAGATGAGTGTAGGTGGGGAGTTAGGGAGGGGACAGGTCAAGGGGGCGGGATGAGGTTAGTAGGTAGGAGATGGGGGTGGGGCTTGATGTGGGAGGAGGAGATAGGTGGGAGGAAGGGACGAGCTGGGCTGGTTTTGGGATGCGGTAGGGGGAGGGGAGATTTTGAAGCTTGTGAAGTCCACATTGATACCATTGGGCTGCAGGGTTCCCAAGCGGAATATGAGGTGCTGTTCCTGCAACCTTCGGGTAGCATCGTTGTGGCACTGCAGGAGGCCCAGGATGGACATGTCGTCTGAGGAATGGGAGGGGGAGTTGAAATGGTTCGCGACTGGGAGGTGCAGTTGTTTAGTGCAAACCAAGCGTAGGTGTTCTGCAAAGCGGTCCCCAAGCCTCCGCTTGGTTTCCCCAATGTAGAGGAGGCCACAACGGGAACAGCGGATGCAGTATACCACATTAGCAGATGTGCAGGTGAACATCTGCTTGATGTGGAAAGTCTTCTTGGCGCCTGGGATGGGGGTGAGGGAGGAGGTACGGGGGCAGGTGTAGCACTTCCTGCGGTTGCAGGGAGCAGTGCCGGGTGTGGTGGGGCTGGAGGGGAGTGTGGGGCGGACAAGGGAGTCACGGAGAGAGTGGTCCCTCCGGAAAGCAGATAAGGGTGGGGAGGGAAAAATGTCTTTGGTGGTGGGGTCGGATTGCAGATGGCGGAAATGTCGGAGGATGATGCGTTGGATCCAGAGGTTGGTGGGCTGGTACGTGAGGACGAGGGGGATTCTGTTTTGGTTGTTATTGCGGGGAAGGGGTGAGAGGGATGAGTTGCGGGAAACACGGTCAAGGGCGTTCTCGACCACTGAGTGGCGGCGGCAGCGGTGGGGGGGCGGGGGTGCAGTTGCGAGGACAAATGAGAACATCTGAGATGTACGGGAGTGGAATGCCTCATCCTGGGATCAGATGCGGTGGAGGCGAAGGACTTGGGAACAGAGGATGGCATTTTTGCAGGAAGGTGGGTGGGAGGAGGTGTATTCTAGGTAGCTGTGGGAGTCGGTGGGCTTGAAATGGATATCGGTTTCTAGGTGGTTGCTGGAGATGGAGACAGAGAGGTCCAGGAAGGAGAGAGAGGTATTAGAGATGGTCCAGGTGAACTTAAGCTTGGGGTGGAAGGTGTTGGTGAAGTGGATGAACTGTTCGAGCTCCTCGTGGGAGCATGAGGCAGTGCCGATACAGTCATCAGTGTAATAGAGGAAGAGGTGGGGTTTAGGGCCAGTGTAGGTACAGAAGACGGATTGTTCCACATAACCTACATAGAGGCAGGCATAGCTTGGGCCCATGCGGGTACCCATGGCCATCCCCTTTGTCTGTAGGAAGTGGGAGGAATTGAAAGAGAAGTTGTTGAGGGTGAGGATGAGTTTGGCTAAGCGGATGAGGGTGTCAGTGGAGGGGGACTGGTTGGGCATGTGGGACAGGAAGAAGCGGAGGGCCTTTGGGCCACCTGAATTGGGAATGCAGGTGTATAGGGACTGGATGTCCATGGTAAAGATGAGGTGTTGGGGACCGGGGAATTGGAAGTTCTGGAGGAGGTGGAGGGCGTGGGTGGTGTCATGGACGTAGGTAGGGAGTTCCTGGACCAAGGGGGAGAAAATGGAGTCCAGATAGGTGGAGATAAGTTCAATGGGGCAGGAGCAGGCGGAGACAATGGGTTGACCAGGCCAGTCAGGTTTGTGGATTTTGGGAAGGAGATAGAAGCAGGCGGTGCGGGGTTGGGGAATGATGAGGTTGGGGGCCGTGGGTGGGAGGTCACCTGAAGCGATGAGGTTGTGGATGGTTTGGGAGATGATGGTTTGGTGGTCAGGGGTGGGGTCATGATCAAGGGGGTGGTAGGAGGTGGTGTCGGAGAGTTGGCGCCTGGCCTCGGCGATGTAGAGGTCAGTGCGCCATACTACAACTGCACCTCCCTTGTCCGCGGGTTTTATGGTGAGGTTGGGATTGGAGCAGAGGGCTGCACGTTCTGTGGGGGAGAGGTTGGAGTGGGTGAGAGGGGTGAAGAGATTGAGGTGATTGATGTCACGACGACAGTTGGAGATGAAGAGGTCGAGGGAAGGTAGAAGGCCTTGGGGTGGTGTCCAGGAGGAGGGGGTGTGTTGGAGGCGGGAGAAGGGGTCAGTAGAGGGAGCGTTAGGCTCACGGTTGAAGAAGCAAGCGCGGAGGCAGAGGCAGCAGAAAAACTGCATTGACTTGATATCCTTAACACCTAATACATTCTGCCCAGAACACTAATCTCCGTTGCCTGCCCCTCCCCACCCCAGCCCCAGACTCAACAGCTCCCATGATGCTGCTTGGCCTGCTGTGTTCATCCAGCCCTGCACCTTGTTGTCTCGGATTCTCCAGCATCTGCAGTTCCTACTATCTCTGATTCAATTTTAACCCCTCTACCAGATGCTGTTCCTGATTCCCCCAACACTTTCCTCACGATGTACCTCACCCACCCCAACCGGACCTGCTCTGTTCGGACCGACCCAACCCAATCCATCATCGGACCCAACCTCACCTTCCTGGACCTAAAGCCCAAAGATTCAGAGAGTCATTGAGTTATACAGCATGGAAACAGGCCCTTCAGTCCAACTCGGCCGCGTGGACAAGATATCCTCAGCTGACCTAGTCCTATTTGCCAGCATTTGGCCCATATCCCTTTAAACCCTGCCTATTCATGTACCCATTCAGATGCCTTTTAAAATATTGTAATTGTACGCGCCTCCACCACATCCTCTGGCAGTTCGTTCTGTACACGCACCACCCTCTGTGTGAAAAAGTTGCCCCTCAGCTCCCTTTTAAACCTTTCCCCTCTCACCTTAAACCTATGTCCTTTACTTTTGAACTCCCCTAACCTTGGCTAGTCACCCTATCCACGTCCCTCATGAATTTATAAACCTCTATCAGGTCATCCTTCAGCCTCAGACTCCAGAGAACAAAAGCCCCAGGCTGCTCAGTCTCTCCCTATTGCTTAAACACTCCAATCCCAGCAACATCCTTGTAAATATTTTTTGAACCCTTTCAAGTTTAACAACATCCTTCCTATAGAAACACCAACTTCCTCATCCGTTGCCAGACACAATTTCACCTGATTACCTTGACCTACCCTAACAACTTAAAATGAGCCTCCTTGCCACTTACCCAACTGGCAATCCTAACACCCTCCACCCCAACTGACACTGCATTCATCTGGCATCTACTTAACTGGCACCCAATTCTTCCAGCACCCTGACAAGTCAATTGGGTTTTGCATTTAACACTTTGACAACAGCTGTCAAAGTGGTTGTCAGGACCTTTAAATATCAGATTACTGCAGCTGACTGTTGTGAAAAGAGGCGAGGCTTGCCTTCCGCTGATCGTTCTGCGGGAGTCCACATTTTCGACGGAGATCTTACCGGAATTTCTTTTCAGAAGGCTAGAACTCCCTTCTTTCGTTGAAAAGAAAGGCCGAAATAACAATCTGCACGAAATTGCCACTCCCCAGAAAAATCTGGCCCATGAAGTTAAATTCCATGTGTTTATTGACAATATCTTACTCTACCCCGCCATCACTTATTCTGATTTTACCCCCTCCATGCTCCCCCACAAATATCAATTTGTTTGTGTAACATTTGATTTTAAATAAAGTACAATTTCTCGATCATGTATTGAGAGGACAGCTTTTGGTGCCCGATAATTTTATAATCCGGCTTCCAGCTCGATCTCCTGCTTCAGGCTAAACCAGTTCACAACCTCAGCATCTAATTCAACAGCCACATGAATTTCCCACCCCAGGACTGAGAAACCATCTTCCAGCTCCATTACCTCAGTCACTCACCCAACTGCTGAATCCTCCATCAGGGTCTAGACCAATGGAAGCTGCTGTGGCTCACTATACCACAAGATTTATTACAGCTCCTCAGAACAGGTTTTAAAA